GCTCGTTCAACCCTACCAGTTTGAGCCAGAGTCTGACCCAGAGGGCGAGGCTCCGGAAGAAACTCTTAGCCGCGTTCAAATACGGGACGTCCGTTATTTGAGCCGAAAGAGGCGCGTCGCCGCACGGGTAAATGCTAAAGCTACATGCTGCTCCGGAAGGGGATTTTGTCGGGGAAGAAGCGAGCGGCTAAAATAGGGAGGATCCGGTAAACCGGCGCGGATCCGGTGTGTTTATCAAAGCGTGGTGGCCGTGCTGAGGCACCGGGGGGGAATTTAGGCTAAACAGTAAGTCAAAATAAAACATTCACACTTACAGATGCCACGTTTGTAGTAGGATCACGGATAGTTGGTACGGATCCATTCTTTATCTTCAGACATCTAGCAAATCCAGCGTTGAACTGTCCCTCGTTGATAAAACAGTCCGAAGTGAAATGGTGCGCACATACGTACAGATATGTTGGAAGTGCCGCGGGTACATTCCCATTATAGATAAAATCCACCCATTGAGTCCTCAAATCCTCCGACGAGGGAGTTTTCAAAAGAGTTTGTGCTCGTTTGTGCAGCCAACAACAGAGCAAACGCTGCCTCTTTTTCAGATCGTACTTCCGCCATGGTTCTAACCGGAGCAATGCGAGCGAGCGGCCGGGAATAATGGCGCTGTTTAGATAATCTTTTGGGCAGGTCAGTGGGCGGCTCCATGGGCAGTACCATCAACCCGCCAGCACTGACATGACATCATGTCAGTGGAGTTTTCAGAACAGCCGGTGTTGTGCCGTAGAATGCACCCCCGACGGGAGCGCGGTTGAAAGTACTTCACAAGGCGAAAATAATCCAAGTTTTCCTTACCATTGGATGAATTCCCAAGTGTGTGTCTTTCATATTTTCATTCAGGCTATTCAGATAAGCCGAAAAAATAGCCCTCTGATTCAGAATATTTGCTGTCCCGAAAATATAATGTTCGCTAGCTTGACACCTACTGTACAATTTATATACCCAAGCACACCTCCGTATGTGCATTTTTGAGACACATAAAAACTCTGAGCACACAGTTCCTAAATACGGAGATAACTACAAAACGACTGGATGGAATTTTTTCAAACTTGGCGGGATTGTAGCGGTTTTCTATCCCTGATTTGCACCCCCCTCTCGTTAACAGAGTCAGTTTTTCATGCCATGGCCCCTTTAAATACAGCATCCTAGTTCAGTTTCTCGTAACCAGATAAACACATCTGGAAGCTGGGTTTGTATCATTGTCCAGACAATAGGAAATAGAGAGATGACCAAGATCGGGATAATTAAATTGAAGAACCAATTACCTTTCAGATTAGCTTTGACTCAGTTCACACTCATGTCAGGACTATTAAACCCTACATAACTCTGGCTTTGATCATGCATTGGTGAGTTGTTGTTTGTGGTGTGAAGTCGCAGAGTGATTAATACCTACACTGCTAACGTTTCATTTCTCACAGTGACTGTGCCATGACACCCACTCACGGAGAAAGCAGGTGAAAATAACTTTACTATTATTCATCACAAACTGTGTGGAGTGAAGGCAGGATCTGACTCAGGAAAAAATCACAACAGTCAAGGTAAATTGTATTAACCCTTCCTCTGTAGCCTATTATGGCAGTGCTGAGTGTCTGCTTGTAGTTGTGTAAGACTCCAGGTGGTGTTGTATTTGTAAAAGACAGAACTCAATGGGATGGGACAAGATCAAGAAAATTCTCACTACTTTCTGTTTCCCAAACTATTTGACATCATTTTGATATTAAAGAGTGTTGGGGATCTAAAAAATCTGTCATAGCAACCTTGCCCTCACCAGGTCAGCTGTTGTTGCCTAAACTGTAGGACAGACAGCTTTCAGACTAATCACCTGGTAAACCTTTGATTCTGGTCATTTAAAACCACAGATCAACTGGAATTCTGTATAGCAAGAGTGACAGGTCGGGGCAGAGGCAGAGGGAACAAAGAAGACAAATAACCGCTCTTTAGCTCAAAAGGCATGTTTAAACACACAAGCTGAGTGAAAGAGACATTGATCAAATTGAAGAAAACAGACTCAAAGCAACCACATATCATAGCTTGGGCAGTTCTGCAGGACTGGTTAAGTAAAAAGGAAATGCTTGAGGGAAGACCACCTTATACTACTGCTGTCATTTTCTTTGTCTGTTACAGTGAAACGCTGACATTTTGACTTGACCACTGACCCATTGGAAATTGAGCTGAGTTAAAAGATATGGATATTTGACACTGCTGTAGGTAAAAGTTATTAATATATTTATCATAGTGTGCTTCAACCTTAAGAATGCTAAATATTAAACTGTATGATTTTTACATGGATCAAATTGCTTGTATGATTGTTATTGCCAATGTTGGCTGTCCAACATGAGTCTGGTTCTGCTCAAGGTTTCTGCCTGTTAAAGGGAAGTTTTTCCTTGACACCTTAACTTGCCAAGGTCCTTCTCCCATCTCAAGGTTGGGTCTAAGTGTCTTGGGATAACAACTGTTGTGATTTGGTGCTGTATAAATAAAACATTGATTGACTAGTTGATTTTCACAAGTGTTCATCACTCAATGACTTATATAAAGTATACATATAAACTGACTGATCACATCTGACAGGACAAACTGTATATGTTTCCTGTGATTTAGTAAATCCAGTCAAGCGATGAATGCCTCGACACTGAATAATGTGTTGTTGTGTCTGGATTACTCTTACTTAACCTGTGTATTATTTCAAATACATTGGTACACTGTGTTCAGTCAGGTGTTGACTAGAGAGGTTCAAACTTCTAACTTTTTAAAGTCAAACCCCGGTCAGGTTTCGGGGAGGTCTTGGTGGGCCCCATTTCAAGTGTTTAGATAAGATTATTTCCCCGTGGATCTATGTGGAATGGGGCCTCTAATTGCAGGTCATGGATTCTCAGGCTTTTCATGCTACCTTTTGAAAGACATTCCTCCCAAATCAGCTGCACTTCAGACATCATTACTCCAGTGTGTTTTTACAAAATATCACCCAGCCCACAAGAAGGACGGCAGCTGACTGAAATAAGTACCACTGAAGATAAGATCGACCAATCCTGTATTAGTGAAAGCTCTGCTCTTGAATGACGTACTGCTTCATGCATTGAACGCAGTGCTGACTGGAGGCTCGATATGTAAATGTGAAACACAGAAGTTTATCCATGACACACAGGGTATGGCTGTAATAAGGGTCGGTTGTTTTTGTAATTGTGTGAGAACATTGTATCAATAGAGCACTTCTGGTTCCCATAACTCACAGTGTCTTTAAGACACCACAGTCCACAACAGACAGGCTGGATGTCATTCTGGTTTCTTAACATTTAGTTGAGTATTCCCTTTGTGGTTTTAGACAAACAAACACAGCTCTGGTTTTGCCAGAAAGAGGCAGACCTTCTCATAACTCATTGTAGCATGGATTTAAGATAAGACAAGTTAGATGTTACGACCCCTCTGGTGACATTTTTGCTGGAATCCAACCTGCAGGTCCAAGAGACTGTGCCAACAATGCTTTGAATATGGGCCTGGACAAATAAGCAGAGATCAAATCAAGGGTTTTTAAGGCATGAGGTATATGGAAAATGAATTTCAGACATCTGAGAGATGTGTGTTTACAACTGTATTTATAAATGACCCAGGGCAAAGGAAACCTCATTTTCCTTGAATGCAACATACAGTTAACTAACGTTCTGGATATGTGTAATGGCGTTCCTTCACCTGTCTTCCATTAGCTGAGTTCTTCCTGTGACTTCAAACAAGAGGCCTGATGGGACCATTAAAGATGATGGCCATCTTAATGTGTTTTATGTTTATGTCTTCCTGGAAATTATGTTGGCAATCATTTCATTAGTTTTTTTGTGAAAATACCGAAATGTGCAGTATGGTCGGTGAAGTATGTTGGTGCTTTTATTTACCCAGTTTGAGTCCAGCTTTGGCTTTACAATACCAGCTGATAGATTTGCAAGACTAGTTTTCTTGTTTGTTTGTAACCTTTCATTTGTTGATTTATTTACTGTATTAGCTGCAGTATAAGCAGGTCACTGTTTCTGCTTTGATGGAGTGGTCCTCTTGTCCACATGCAGTGGATGTTGTTTGATCGTAGCTGGACACCTGAGCTTCCTTTTAATAAAATTCATTATTATATAACCCGTTGGTGAAAAGCAAAGATACAACATTATTCTGTTCACTTAAAGGTCCATTAAATATCATGTTTGCTCTCATGCTAAAAATAAAGTTCCAAACTTTCTCATATGATAAGTAGAGGCCTGTTAATATATGGCATAACATCTATTTGCTAGAGGAAACAGCTTGCAGTTTTTACTGATATATAGTCTTTTTTGTTTGCACAGTAATTTTATTGTCCTTTCCTTAGAATAAACTGCTTTTCCCATTGGCTGAAGTCAGACTCTCGACTCTGGAGTGAAAATCACTGTCTTAGATGAATCAAAGTAAGTTGTCTTCTTTGTGAACAGTGTTTGAGGAAGACTTCGGAGACACGCAACAGTGATGTTACTGAACTCACAAGGATACCACAGCAATATTAAATGTCAGTTTTGAACAATGATTTTTGGGGCCTTAAATCTCAAACTATTATCATGATCAAACTAACAACTAACATATTCTTGTGCATGATTTACTTTAAAACAGTGGCTAAATTAGGAAGCTGTGTCTGAAGAGGAAAGTGGTGTGGAATAACTTGTTAAAACTAATCAACTTTGGAAAAGGTTTACTGGTTTGACTGTTTAATAATCTACAAAGCAAATTTATGTGGACGTGAAGTCTGAATTGAATTCTGGTAGCTCGGTCAATTCTCTTGACAGAGGCACAATGCCATTTTCCGGATGAACCGAGAGTCAGCGATAAAATATGCAAACCTTTCTCTATATCGAGAAGCTTTTATTTTGAAACCACTATCAGGAAATATGTGTGTTAGGTACTGCTGACTTGTCGCCAAGAAGACGCTTCTCAAAGCAGCCAGGGTTGGGCTGAGGCGGGAGGTGAGTCAGAGTCAGAACACCCCATCCTTGGAGGCGGACCGCAGCTTTGAGTAAATAAGAGGCTAAGAGTTTCTGACAGGACTTATAACCCCAGAAAATAACACCGACACGGACCTGCACACACATCTGGACTTTACCAAGCCAACTTTTTTATACACTGACATTTTATAACGTTTTTTTCTGACATTTATTTTATTGTAATAGTTAATGTTTATGGTGTGATGGCTACTGTATCATCGGCTGATATTGGAGTCCTGTTTCTTGTGGTGGTCGCAGCATCTTTGGCAAACGGTGAGTAGCCAGCTGTCAGACATCCTGGTGGTCCTCTAGCTGGAAGCAGGCTGTAATAATGACACATGTGCATATTCTATTATATTTCAATTTTAATTATTTTTATTGAAAGGCACACGTGTCTTGATTTCCACTGATTGGTCATATGACATACCTTGTCAATATAATTTAAAGGCTTTTTGGTGGAACCAGGTGAGTGATTGAGAACTTTAAAACTCATCAGCTGTAATCTCTATGACTGGTGATTCTCATTTACATTTGTCTGTGTAAAAATAACACGATGATGCCTGACTAATGCAAATTTATTCTAAAAGACTCACTTTTTTTTTTTTTTACCAGGCTTTTCACTAATTCCCATTTTATATTTCTATTATTGCAAATGTTCATTTTAATCAAAGTTCTTAATGTCTCTTTTATGTCATTTTATTAATTATCTCTGTTCTTAGTCTTTTTCTTAATTCTCGTCTTAGAGGTTTTTACTTCTTTTACCCCTTTTACATGGTAAAGAGCTCTTACTTATCTGTTCATTTAATATTTTTTTTGTTTTAGTCCATTAGGTTTTAGTCTTTCTTTTAATCTTTATCTCCAGTGTTTCCCAAAGGTAGCTCTTTCCTCACGTAATGTTTTGGTGTCAGGCCATGTCTCTTTAACAGTATATCTTAAATTCTTACTCTGTGTGTGCTGGTGTGTGTGTGTGTGTGTGTGTGTGTGTGTGTGTGGGTGGGAGGTTCCGGTTTAATTGTTGTTAATTGTTGTTTTTAGCCTCTGTGAGGCACTTTGAACTGCATTTTTTGTCTGAAAATGCCATAAAAATAAAGTTGAATTTGAATTTAATTATTCTAATTCATAATACTTTTCATAATAACAAAGATGTGGCATAAATAAGGCAGTATGGATCTTGCATGTCTCACATCTATAACTTGTAACAGCCTGACACAAACTATAGTGAGACAATAAAATGTCTTTGGTTCTGTAGGTTCCTCGTCCAGTAAGGATGTGAACCAGAGGAGAGAGGTGGCAGTAATTAAACTGAGCGCTCTTCTGCCCGGTGACGTGGACGACCTCACCAGCATGTCTGAAGTGGAGCCCTGCTCTTCCTGTGAACCGCAGAAATCTAGGAGGCGTGCAAAGAGATGCACATGTTACAGTTATAAAGACAAGGAATGTGTGTATTACTGCCACCTGGACATCATCTGGATCAACACACCAGAGTAAGAGTCTTCCTCCAAACTTCCTCATCTCTCCCCAGGTTCAAAGTCAGTCACTAGCTTCGAAATCATAGTAGTCGTATTATTGTGCGTTTGTCATTCAGGGTTTTAAGGTGACATCACAGTTTGTCATATACTCCTGTATTACTCATGCGTTTATACCAGTATCACTTCAGCTGATACAGGCTCATAACATTATGTCTCAGTTACATGCCCTTTGATGGGAAGAAAATTGTAAGAGGCACACACACGTGATTCAAAGGTCAGATCAGATCTTTACTTTTGTGTCAAATAAATGCTCAAGATGCTGTCAGCCAGGAAGGGATTTAAAGAGGAAACTGGCCATCAAAACAAACCAGGCGCATTTTTCCAGTATACCCTATGACCCTTTCACCTGTGAAGGTTTGATGTGATCTAAAGCAGGCCAGACCCTGAGCTCTAAGGCATTTTATATCCTCTGAGGGTTTCTGTCTGTGGCTGACAGGCAGCGGATAGATACACCTCTCTGATATCTGAAATATTTGTAGTGTAAAAATGAACACTTTGCAAATGTTTATAATTCTCGTTCTCTGTTTCGAAGTGTGAATGCAAAGAATTAGTACAGACAGAATTTCATATGACTTCACCAAAAGCAACACATCTGACACCTTCTGCTGGGCTTCTCCAGCCCAGATCTCTATTTTCCTTCCTCTGCTTTTTACTTCTTTAGCATTTTCATTAATGTTTCTGATATCAATTCTACTTTTTTAAGTTAAAATTCTTTATGATCTGTAGCATCAAAAAAATAATGCTACAGATAAAAAAATGAAAAATAAATCAACACACATGAATAATCCACATGCACTGAAGGACACTGACTTATGCCAGAGTGGCTCCTGTTTGACTGTTTAACAAAGTGTTAATACAGATTGCAGGCGGTGTTAGACAGATCAATGCTTGGTCCGAACCATGAGTGAAAGTAAAAGTATTTGGAGGCTGTATAAGATCAGCTACATAACTGAAAACACATCAGACTAAGGCGTAGCCACAGTTAGTAGAATTGAAGTTTCCAGACTGCAGAGAGCAGTGCAGCAACTGTTGACTGTTCCCACACATGTGGCTCAGTGTTAAAGCCAGTCCCTTCATGAAGCCTTTCTTACTGTGCTCTCATGAGTGTAGACCTAAGAAACATCACAAACTTCACAGGTGAATCTTCTCACGGTATATGAATCTTACTGTTGGCAGGGTGCATCCCTCTGAAAATACCAGACTGTAATATCTTTAAGCTTCTTCAGGTGATGTACGCTGAGGAGATACAGCCTTTCACTTCAGCTTTGCACACCACAGAGCAGTGTTACAAAGGTTTACAGTCAGTCATATCACCTTGACTGGCCCACTGCTTATCAGTGTTATCTCTGCTATCTAATTGTCAGATTTACAAAATATGTTTTTCCTATCAGGGTCAAGAGTGAAAAGAAAAACCCACATGCAGATTTTCAGATAAATGCATTAGACTGTAGAGAGCTATGAGCACCTCTATCCTCTGTAGCCACTAAACTCAAACACAATGATGAGCCTGGGTGGTTACATCTTCTTAAATGGTTATTTTGCAGCCCAGAGTGGCATGGTACTGGCTGCTTCTGTTCTCATTGCTTTTTGCTGCAGCTTTAAATTCATGTTGTTCAAATTTCGGGACTACCTAATCTCTAAAGTCATTCAAATTTTATTTTATATAACATCAGCTGCACGGATATTAAGGAAAAAATACATGAATCGAATGCAGCGATTGCAGAAAGTGATTTTAACTTCACTCAGGAGTATGGATGTACAAATATGACCTTAGCTGTAATGATTGCTTCTGGAAGCAGAAGCAATTTAGTACCTGCAGCTTTTAATTAAAGTTGACCTTCTGACTTGTACTGCACTTTATTTTCACTGCATTTTAGTATATTTATTGAAAAAACATAGACATTGTATTGACAGCCGTCCTCTCTCAGCACGCATAGGCAATCGTGGCAATCAATTATCCAACTTGTAGCTGAAGATAAACTTTAGGAAGCTCTTGGAATCTGACTTTGATGTCCACGTGTATAAACCAGCTATCCCCTACCTGTTTTCTCCAGTGTGGGACCAGGTGATTGATGTTGATGGTAATAAAACTGCATCACAAGAGCTTCATGTCCTCAGAGGCCACCCCCTGTCACCAACAGGAGGGGTGAGCAGGGGAGCATCTCAGAATGAAGCGCTGTACCCTTAAATAATAAGCTCTGCCAACAATGTTAAAGAGAGGAGTGGGACTGAACCACACAGCTAAGTTCTCAGACAGAAAGCAAAACATTCATATTCCTCTATGGGGTTGTCACTTTTACAAAAGTTGATACGGCAAACCATCCTCCCAATGTAAATATGTTCTGGATATATATATATAAATATGTTTCTGTTCTTCAAAAAGGCCCACTTAGGGTATCCAAGCGCATGGTTCAACACAGGAGAGCCACTTCCTCAGGTCAGGACTCAGCTGTCCACCTTCACTTAAAGGACAGGGGTCACTCTTTCGAGGACAGCAATGTACAGGTGTTGGCTAGAGAAGACAGATGGTTTGAGAGAGGAGTTAAAGAAGCCATCTTTACCAGACTGGAGAAACCTTCTCTGAACAGAGGGGGTGGACTCAGACGCAACCCCTCCGGCACTTACAATGCAGTTCTCAGCTCTCTCCCCAGGAAGCTCCACAAACATTCACACCTGGGACCACATGACCCAGGTGGCATGAGTCATTGTCGTTGTCAGAGTCGTTGTCTGTCCCCTTCTCCAGTAAGATAAATATCTGCTCCTCACACTAGCAATATTTAGAACTGAAGAAGCTTCTTGGATAAGAGGCGAAACGTCTTCTCAACTCTACAGAGTCCAGTTGCCTGTTTTTAAGTCTTCAAGAAAACCATGACCCGGATGAATGAGAATCTACATGGGCTATCAAGTTTGTATGTGTTTTTGCACACGCAAACCTTTAGTAGATCAGGCCCATGGTGTTTTATTTTGAGATGCCAGGTGACATGCACTGTTTTTGTGCTTGACATCCTGTCTAGAATGCCCTTCTCTGCTTAGATTGACGTGTCGGACGTGTAGAGCAGCAAAAATAGACTTATTGCATATCTTTAGCAGTGCTGCGCTCGATAGGCTTCGACTGAGCTGATACGCGTCCTGTATGCGATGCTGCATTGATTTGAATGACAATCTACTTGCTGTGTGATACGCGACGCTGCTGCCATGCTCCAAATATGCATCCTGTATGTTTTAGCCTTAAGTTCACTCTTGAAGGAAATCCCTCATGTGGAGCTTCGTTCAGTAACGAGCTGCTCAGAAACGTCTTCTTTATCACCTTCGGCCATGTTTGTTTGTCATTCTGCTCTGTGTGGGCTACGGCTGCGAGTCCGTTGCTTGCCCTTACATCGTTAACTTGCATTTATCATATTTATCATGAGATGGCAAATATTTATCATGGAGGATTTTTTCTGAGGATAAATCGTGAACCATGTGTGCCATGACAAACATAACACTGGCATGAATGAGGAGAAAACTGTGTTTTAAAATTCTGCTGTAGTTTTACGGGCTCGCAACAAGGTTGAAGGAGAAACAGTGTGTGGAGGAGTTATTGCAAGATAAGGTTAAAAGACAAACTTAATACTTGAGCTGGTTAAATGTAGCAAGCGGCACTTTGAACATAAGGGATATTGGATACGCAGGCCATCACACTAATGCTTTTCATGTATGTGTGATGTATAGGGGCAGATCTCAGCAGGGCATCCGGGGCAAAAATCCCCTTTGGCATAAATGTACAGCTCAAATCCCAAGTTACAGCCCATAACAGGGGAGTTCTCTTTTGATCATGTCTGAAAATCCTGCTCAAGAGAGAACTAGTGGTTTCTATTGTGCCCAAAAGATGAAATTACACCAAGAGAAGAACATACATGCATGATTCTTCATGTGAATTAGGCTTTGTCTATAATCCACCATTATACTCTTTGTAATATGAAGAAAACGACCTTAAAGTATCAAAGTTGATTTTACAGATCAATAAACTGAAACAGGTTTATTCTTCCTTGGGCTGTTTTTATCTCTGCTCTTGTTGTTATTAGTGAATTGTGTAAGACAAATAAGAAATGTCTTCTCATATCATATCTTATCTTATTTTTGTAGTAGGCTTTAGAGGTTGACTGAACCTGAGTTGCATTTTGTCACACTGCCATCTTGCCTGGTTGTCGTCTTATTGAACGGTCTAACTACCGTCTTTACTGAAACCATGTTTAAGTTGTAGAGAATACACAGTAGTTGCATTTGAGATGAGACTGTAGCGCACTGAAATTAGTAATGGATTTAGACCTTAGTCCTCTGGGGCAGACTGTCTCCCCAACAGGAAGGCAGGGATCAGAGGATCAAAGGTATGAAAAGAGAGTCTGGTTCTCATAAAGGGAGGTTAGTGAGGTTTTGTACTCCTGTATCAAGGCTTTTAGGTCTACACTGTTGAAGAGGGCCGATGTTGTAGCCCAGAAGCAACAGGAGGTACTACATTTTTAAGTCTGCTTTGAAGTGCTGTGTTTTGTTTTGTTTGACCTTTGACTTTCTGACCTCCGTTTGGTTCTTCATTTACATCAAGCACACCACCGGGGTTACAGATTTGAAATATGCTTCAGTGGACTTCCCAGACTTCTGATTTAAACTTAATTTTTGCCTCATGAAATTTTTACACTCGCAGAAATATTTAGGCCTTATTGCGCACAAAATCCATCCATTTGAATCAGTTAGATTCAACATACACAGGCCAATAAACTTTATGTGCTGCTCATTTGTCAGTCAAATGTAAAGAAACTATTGATAATTAGATTTGTGCAATAATACCAGTAAACCCAATCTGTTTATAATAAATAATGGCAGATTTATGTATTCATCATTGATAACTCCAGTTTGTTTCTGTCTCATAAACTGTAACTAAATGAATCTTGGTTGATTCACAGCTCATCATATTTAAATTTTATTCATATGCTTCAACTAATTAAATGGAGTTGTTCTCACAATTAAAAGATTTATGCTGATTTTAAGAAATTTGAATAAATAAATTCTAAAAAATGTAATGATTTAAATAAAATCAAATAAATGTAAATACTTAAAAATAAACTACGCCATGATTTTTTTTTCTAAGTATAGTGTAACTTCAACAGAAATAGCTGACGATGTCATACTACCATGCTGACGCCTGTCTGTAATTTAACATTTATAACACCATGATGTCTTATCAAGTGGCACACATGAGTAGTGTTCGAATATTGCAATATTAATGCTGTCTTCTCTTTATGTTTTCTTGGCCATGTTAGTCCTTTTCCAAAATGATTCCAGTAAGGATTGACTTTACGTCATAACCAAAGCAGTTTACCAGTTTGTATCAACACAGACACTAATTAAGAGACATCACATGGACACAGTCAGGGACATTTCGGCTCCACCTCTTGCTATCTCTACAATGCTGATGTCCAAAGTTTGTCATAAATATTGTCATGTCAAAAGTATTTCATGCAGACTCATGACCAAAGTAGAGTTTTCACCAATTAACTGACCAGTCGACCTGTCAAGACCATGTTTTTGTTTAGAAGAAAAAGAGTATACATCTCAACACATTAATGCAACTAAAATTGCACTTCTTATAGTTGGACCTAGATGAAGCAGCTGGGGATCCATTTTCTCTCATATGTAAATGGCTCAATTGGACTGAAACTGGACCCAGGGTTTTGTTCATGCTCCAGAATTCAGATGCCAGGCTCAGGTCTGGAAGTACAGAATATATGCTTCGCTAGGAAGCCGAGCAGTAAACGAAACCTTGATAGACGTAGAAAGTACTTTGCAAAACATACCACCTTCTGTAGCAGAAGCAGACGTTTCAGTAATCTAAGTCTTATCAGATGCCCGTACTCTTGGACAAAGACAGTAGCCCAGTTAAACCACCTAACCGAGCTATAACTGTAGCTCAGCTTTGCGCTGTGTGTAAACTAGTGACTGTCATATTTTCTTTTTTCTTTCTGTAAATAAAATGGGATTTTGAATAGTGAGGAATGTCACTGTGGCCCTTCTAAAATGTTTATGTCACAGAATTTAATTTTCCCTGTGCACCAGTACCATTCTCTCTGGGTCTGTCTGACATAACAACAAGTCAGCTGGTTGACTTTTCAACCAACTTGTAAAAATAAGTAGCCACGAAACCCCCAAAATTAAAGTAATCTTGTTCACAAAGAAATAAGGAATTAAATCTCTCTGATTCTATTCATAAGAGTAACACATCTAGAGGACTATTATAATCCATTCTGTGTAACAACTTTTCCAAACAAAGCTTGGTGAAACTGCTTGAACTTGGTAAAGATGTTTTTCCTTTTATTACAAAGGTTTTCACAGAACTGATGAGTTGGACTTATGCACCGTGACTTGGATGATGGAGAGTTTTTACAGACATGTGTAAAGCTTATGCCAAATTGACTGTTTCAAAGTGACGACAAAAAGGGTTTTTGATGTTCTGGCCCAAAGGATGTAACCCATTGTTGGAGAACAAAAAATTAAAAACACCTCTGAATAAAATGAATCCCAGTACGATCATGCCGCTGATGACAGCCTCTTAAATCACTGTTGAGTCAAATCATTTAATCTCTGAAACAGCCTCAGTAAACTATAATGCTTGTGGCCTTCTGCTGTGAAATGTAAGATACAAATGGTGCTGATAGGCAAACATACAGGACATCCTCTGTCAGGTCACTTATGTGCTCTATATTGTTGTTGTTTTCAGACACACTGTACCATATGGTATGTCCAGTTACCAGGGCTCCCTGCGTATAAGGCGCTCTGCCAGTGTTTGGCAGGTGAGGAGGGGGTCCGTGGCCCAGCGTTGTGCATGTAGGCTGCAGAGTGACTCAGACTGCAGCAACTTCTGCAAAAACAGGTAACTGCACTACTGGTAAGAACTGCTGTTATACGTTGAAAGCCTGATAGTATGATTTATGAGAACATTCACATTATATCAAACTAAAAAAAACACTGAAATCACACACATCCTTAACTTGGCCGCTAAAATCACAGCAGCCTTTTGCTTTTGATTTATATCTGCAGAATAAAGTGTTTATTAAAAGGTAACCATAGCAGTAGTGATTTTTCTCATTGTTCTTCATCTTGAACCAAGGATGGTTGCCAAGTTGCTTAGGTCTTTGTCAGGAAGAATGTATGGCCACTGTTTCTCCTGGCTGTTAAATGTTTGCCAAAATATCCATCTCTCACAAATGAGGGTCCACCCTCAGACTGTATAGCACAGTTATGGGAGTAGCATAAGGTTCACATAGTGGGTCTGAACGGCATGTTGCAGCTGCACTGTTACTGTGTTTCTGTGACAGCTCTGCCACTGTAGCTCATATTGTCACAGTATCCTCACCTGCTGTGTGTTGTCTGTAATACTGCTGTAAAGCGTCTCTTGCTGTCAGCTCAGACAGCCTCTTAAATTTGGATTTGACTGTATGGCTTTAAAGAATAAAATCTGGGTAGTGTCCAGCTAAAGAAAAGAAAAAAAGACAGTTTTTAATGCAGTAATATTTCCTTCTGAGTCCAACAAAACTGTGATCTCTATTTATTGTTATGTGAGGTGCAATACTGCTGGCGTTAAGAACACTGTCCACCTAGAAGACTGATAAAAAGGTATTACTTTATAAAAAAACTGAACTAAAAGACATTCAAAAGAGGAAAATGGTTCTAGGTCCCACACAATTAATAATAAATTTATAGTTTTGCATATCACAGTTGCATCCTAATTGAGTTGTTTCAAAAACATCACAAATTCAGTCCCTGTAGCCTCTCTCTTTGTCCATGCACTGATCTAAACGGGTGGGGATGTGCTTATTAGAAAAACTGCCCACTGAGTGAGCTTGATCTTGGAGTTCTGTGAGTTTATTGTTAGAGGAAGCAGCAGGTTGGACAATTTGCTGACTTGGATTTTGCAAGTGAAAAATTACTAATGGAAGTTAATAATTGTGCTTCCCCCTCATCATAGTTCAACAGAGAGAAAAAAATCAGTGTCAAGGGATAAACAGAAGTTTATGTAGACAGATCCGACCTGCAATAAGTGATACCAGCATCAGCTTTTTTCATAGCTGCCAGTTCTTCTTTTATTTTTATGAGCAGCTGTATTAATTTTAGTCTGAATAATGTGTCTTTCAGACAAAGTAGCTTGCTGAGTTTCTAACAAACAATGTTCAGTCAATGACTGATTTGTTCATGTTTTGTTTCAAGTGTATTTTTATCCTGTCAGCCCTCACTGTTGAAGCAGTCCCAGGTAAACTGGCTAGCACAAACAGATAAATTAGCAGCAGCTACAGCCTGCTTGTGAAGAATAAAGGCACCCTTTGTTGTTGTTTTTGTTTGTCTGGTTTCAGTTTTTTTGCAGCCAACAACAGATCACTTGGCTTTTCTAGCCCTGACCTTTGGCATCTTATCTCTGCCACACCAGTAGAGTTATGGGTTACTAAGTCATTGTCAATACTAAGTATTTCTGCATTCAAATCGTTGTGAATCACTGGCAAACATAGCAGGTTCAGATACAGAGAGATTTCCTATGTAGCAAATCCAAGCTCCGCCCCCAGAGCCCTGCCATGAAAGCCAGGCTCAGAGAAATAGAGAGGAGGACAATCGCGTTAGCAGATTGCAATGCTTGTAAGGAAGCTAATTATGATATTAGCTTTTATTATGTCCCCAAAGATATTATTGTCCAAGAGCTGATTAGCTCCGATGTTGCCTGCTTCTGCTCCTACACCGGCCATGTTAGGCTGCAAGCTAGCATGAAGAGGAGTATGCAGAGCAGCGCTGTCTCCGCCCACGTCTCAGAGGCGAATTGCTATTGAGCTACTGGAGCTCTGCTGAAGAAAAGCCCTTGAAAATGACACATGTAAAATGATTTTGGCTTAAGATTCAATAATCACAATTTAAAGACCTCTGAGAATACTTTGAGGTGTAATAAAAAAAAAAAGATCGGAGTGGGACTTTAAGGAGTGGGAGCGGATTTGGCATGCATTGCTTATGCAAATCACACCTGTTGATGCATCACCACTGGGGCCCATTTAAATCAGCCCATAGAAGCCGTGTCCCCCCCACTAGGTTTGCTACAGAAACAGTGCAGAGGATTCTTCTCTTCCACATTCTCAGGGCTGTTAGGATGGGGGGGATAACTGAAGTGTACAGAGAAGAGGAAACATATTTTTATAGATTTAAAAACAGGCCTTTCTATGCCCAGATTGGATTACAATAACATACAGTAACATACCGCATCTGTGTACTTTAAATGTAGGAAACAAAAAAAAAAAAATGTAGAAACTGGCTCATGATGCTCTTCACTGCATTGGAGTTTCCTGTGAAACCAACAACAGCTTTCTTGTGTCTGAAGTATCTGTTTTTTCTCTGTCAACAGAAAGGAGAGGCTATCCTTGGAAGGAGCTGAAAAAGACAAGGCGAGAGCAGCACAGCACAGCATCCATGCTGTGAAATGACCTCGTAACTGAAGTGCAAAGTGTTGGACATGAAGTGTCGTTCAACGGGCATCTCCTTTTTCTAAAAACCAGCAACTACATCTACAATTCAGTGGAGGGGCGAGAGTATCATCAGACTGATGATTAATGACAGAACTGCTTCACAAATACTCAAACAACAAGGATGTTAGTGCAGTGCATGCCGCTCAACCCTCTATGTCTGTGTCTGTGCAGCAGGTGTGGACAATGGTTTCCATTATGCTGTCACAAATAGGAATGCCTTACATGGCTTGTTTGTTTCGACCATGAAAGACTTCAGTTGAGCATGTTGCTCACACATGACTCTGTCTGGCAACTGAACTGCTGCCATCGGACTCCAACATCTCAAAGCTTTTGGATAAATTATGACCAGAGGAGAATAAGCATGTTTTCTCCTCAGGAACAACCATAAATCAAACATACACCCTGTGACTGCTACCATATGCTCAACGTAAACTGCAGCTAGGCCAGCAGGCTTTACTTTAAAAGCCCACGGACACATTAACGTTTTATTTTGGCTATCAGGTTTCTTATGTGCAGATGGACGTGTTTTGATTAGTCAAGGACTGAACATTTATATGTTTTGGAGAGTTGTTTGACTGATAAGTGGCTCTCTGTGAGCTAAGAACTAACTTTGTTGTATTCCTGCTGTTTGGCTGACTGAATGTCAAAATCAAATTAACAAATATTGTGTTACAATATAGTCATTTTATTTTTGTACAACACCTTTATTTACAATAAAGTCAAGTTATTTGTTTTTAAGAGCATGATCAAGTTACGCAGTAAGTTTATGGTTCATATCATTCAACATCTGTTCATTCTTTTAGCATGTGGCCGTCAGTTGACAGACTTTGAAGTAAGTCCAAAAACTGTTTTCTTTATTACATTTCATACAGACAAAAGGAAGACATGGATTCTTGACTTTATATTTCTTGATTGCTTAATGGACATCGCTTTTTATCTAAATACTTAAAGGGTGGTAAATAATCTCCTTTTCAGGTCACACTGCTGTGGTGTATTATACAGTCAAACAAGACTTTCCCTTTTATATCCGCCTCTTCTATACTCAACATCTCTGGAGGAAATGTACCAAATGCTTTATGCTTTGAGTTTCAGAGGCTATGACAGCCATATACCGAGCTACACCATTATTTATTCACAGTCCTGGTTCTGTTAATGGGAAATAAAGATAATTGGACTTCAGCACGCAACAGTATTCTGACCAATACAGTATCTGACAGATATTGATCTGATCCATTAAGTTGAAATTGGGCACAAGCCTTCTGTAGGAGGGCGAGGTATTTGCTTCGCTGTTGAATTCAATGTCAACGACCTGTCTCACGTGTCATTCCCCGCCTAAGTGTTAGTTTTGTGAGACAGCCACCAATATTTCACTAATCTAACCCAAGTGTTACGTTGCCTAACTTTTTTTTTTTTTCATAACCATAATCACAACCATGATGCCACTGCCTTCACAGACTTCAACGAGGAAAAATGAAGATTCTTGACAAAGCTGGCATCTTGCAGAAAAATACAGTATAATCTATAGTATAGCATAATTTCTCAATCTTGACTTGAAGGCTAGAGAGAGATTTGCTGTGATGTTTCTCTGAGCAACAATAAGTCTTATTGTCATTTCACTGTTCTGGGACTGATTCAAGAATGCTTCAAATAAATTCTCATGTACCCACTTTTACCACAAGTGGTTGTAAGGCATTAAAGAAATAGTTTTGTAACAAAGACAAATAAATTTACTGATTAAAACTGTGAATATTTTAGTAGTGACACCTGCTTTTGTCTGAGGACCATCTTTTAGAAAAATCCGGTAATGCCACTTTGGGAAAATTCCACAGTTAATCCCTCAATACATCTAATCAGGTTCAGCAATCTTAATCTCCTCCATTTCTTTGTAATAACACTAGGTATTCCTCATGCTCTGGAGGTATAAAGGCGGTGGGGTTTGTCACCATGAGGAATGTGCCAGAAGAAGAAAAGAATAAAGGGGTGGCACAAATATAGATCTTGCTGGCCAGAGAAACTGCACATGCTCTCATAATAAGAATAAACCACAATTATTTCCACCACAAACCAAACTGTGTTTGTGTTAATTACTCAATAAAAAAATTATGATGTACAGACAGCTGGCGCTTGCTCAGTTTGATCCTTAAATTGTTTTATTACTTGATTATATATTGCCTATCGCTGACATTCATTTAGTTAATTTAATTAATTCTCTGAAAACTACTTAACAGTTTTTTTTTTTTAAATCAGACCACTGTTGAAGCAGTTTCTAGCTTTAGATTTTTTGTAAACTTTTGGCAAAACATGTTAACAACCCAAAGCACTTGAAAAAAAATAGCTCCTTAAAAAAACTCAAACCACCATGATCGCCTGTTCAAGTTGCCAGAGCCAAAAGACTGGTGAGCCAAAAAAGTCAGACATCAGTGCTGTTGTTAGAAGGATCTTTTTTTTGAGAGAGAGGGTTGTGTCTCCAGAGAAGAACTGCCATTACTGTATGTTCTTAATTACCAACATGGGTTTTTTTTTATAGTTGACATGTTTGAGGTATTAGGAATGAGAGAAATGCACATCACAATGTTTGTCAGGCTGTTTATAATACAGGCTTCATTTTAGCAATGAGCAGCATGTGCAGCTGAACAACACACATTTTCACATCTGACACCAAAGGCACAAAGGAGTCAGCTCTACTTGTTCCAGTACAGGGATAAGAAATACCAGGTTTCTCTGTGTGAATTTAAAATCCATATCCTGATGATAGTCAAAACTGGGATAAAACTGAGAGACTCAAATTCATGTAAACTCCCTAACAAAAGACTATGTCACTGAACCTTTCCTCTGTAACTGAGGCCAATTAAGTTCTCCAATGCTTTGATTAGATCTTCATAAAAAAAAATAAACAGTTATGGTCTCATAAACAGCATCACAGGGCACATTAAAATCCCACATGGGAGAAAACATGCTCCTTTTTGGTCTGATGAGCATTTTGTGAGATGTTCACTGAGGTCAGAATACTCCAATGGAACTAAAATGTGTATGGTGGTTAGACGGTTGAAAGTACATTTATATTTGATTAGATTTCTGAGACAATAGTCAGATGCTTTGAATAGCCAGACTTTTATGACCTTGTGACATCTTTGCATCTAAAGCCTCTGCCTTTAAAATGAAACACAAAGCAAAGGAGAAAGAGGAAGGGATGCGGCATTTGTTTCTTTAGACCACCAGATCATTCCCATTCCTGCAGAGGCTTCTCATTCAGGACACTGACAGTTTTATTGTTCAATCAAGTCTGTTATTTCTTCCCCAGAGGGTGCGACATCAAACCTGGAGCACCTGATACAGTTTCACCAGTGAAAAGGCTGCTGCATTTGTTCACACGGGCACTTTACGGTCCATTCTCATTGAGCCCAGTGGTTAGGTGGGTATTAGAAGAGCAAGTCTCAACCGACTTGACAACCAAAATCCTGGGAGGTGAGCCAAGAGCATACCAGATTTAAAACACCTCTGTAAACACTCAACTTAACCTTCCCGGCAACCATCAAGGTCAACATGACTTTGACAAATCGGGGCGCACTTGAGCTGACCTTGCAGTTGTTTACAGGACTGATCCTCCAAAATATCTCAACTGATCATAAATCATTTGCATGATTTCCATCACAGTTTTTGCGTACAGTGATCTGTCAACGCCTACCTGGAAAGAGGAGTTTAAACAGTCAGTGTCCCGGGTGTGAGGGGTCTGCAGTGATGTTACCTTCACGTTTCCTGGCCCTGCACCGGTGTAAGTCCTGGATGGAGGGTAGGTTGGCCTGGATTTTTTTCTCCAGTCCTGATTGTCCATTGCAGTCTGTTTATGTCCTGCTTGACACACACACACATGCATGAGTATAATTTTCAAATGTGCAAAGCGGTGCTTGGTCAGTCCACTCTGTTCATGCTGCCTTACTTGTGTTATCTGACAAGAACCCATCTAATTGTGTCTTAACGATGACTTTGACATGTAAATTCACTTGCACAAATTGTTTAATTCATGTTTAGAATGAACACAACATAAGAAGGCTGCCTTTTATCATGCAGCATTTACTGCTGGTTCATATTTTATGGTAACAGCACACACGACACACAGCCAACTGACCCTCGCAAAAAATAGACTGACAAAAAATCTTTGTTGAAAGGCAGTTTTGAAAAAGTACAAATTTTACTTTCCTTTTCCTTTCCAGCAAGAAAGGACCTGGTGTCCCCATAAAGATTAGAAGCAAGACTGGCTTAAGTGGTACTTAAAATTCATGAGAATTTTCAGTGATCTAAGGTTTACTTCATAAAACTTGACAGTTAATTGTAGCAAAACAAATCCAGTGTTAAGGCACACAATCACTACTTTGACTTCCTAAGAGTAGTGGTATGATGGTATTTTCTTTATTTTCTTATTTTGCAGTTGCTCTACATCTGGACAAACTTTAACCTACTTCTGTGCTGCTCAAATACTTGATATCACTGACAGGCCAAATAAACAGTTTACATCTCTCACAGTTGGAGCTATGAGTTCATTTCACCAAAAGGACAGGAGGGTGAAAGATGGGTCTGCTTATCTGAGCAGACAAACAAACTTCTGCATCTGCATGTGGTTCCACACCATGTCTCTATAAACTTCAACTTGTGAATATAGTCATGGGCTGTCACTTCTAAAAGACCCAAGTTCAGTCTTGGAAGTCAAGATATTTAAAAATAGCTTGGGATAAAATCAAGTTTTTTTTTTCTCATGTGTAAAAGGCTAAGGTAAACATAAAAAAAGCATGGAAAGAAAATGTCTCATTCCCACTAATACCATCTGCATTTCATGCATTAAGCCTGCTGCATGTGGTTTTAATTTAAATGCCCTTTAAATTGTGCCACTTATATGCGGGAAGCTGACCACACTATTGTGAGATCAAGTGTCATGAGTAGATTTGGGCATTACTACAACAGTTCATGAAAAAATGTCACTACATCTGCAAATGTGGTGAAGTTTATATACATTTAAACGTGTTGGATATTTTGCATTAATCTGAATCTGTACCTTTTCACAAGTCTGTGGTAGGGCCACTGGTTATGGAAGTACAAACATTGAAGTCTCAGTTACCGAAAGTTCAGAAAGGAGACACACCTTAAAGGGATGTTCCGTCATAAAATTTATTTAGGGTCAAACACCGAGTTAAACACTCCCTTGAGAGATGAATGTTGCAGACCGCTTGCTTCTCTAGTTATACCAACTTTAGTAACAACCGCAGGATAGCAATACACAGCAGACTGAGGAGCCATAAACAAACCTCAACCAAAATGCAACTCTATAGCCACAAATAATGCTCAGAACAGCACCTAACTTCATCAACAGTACATATAGGGTCCCAGCCATAGCACTAGCCACCAAACATCTTCTTCACTTTGCCTAATTTCTTTAGCAAAGAGACTAAACACAACTCACTGACTCTCCTCCAGCAGCTGCTTGTTTGTAGTGAGACCTCAGGGCCAGTCCATTACAGACTGCTGCGGGGTGACACAGCTCAATGATCATTTATCATTATTACTTTATTATTTCCTTAAAGTAATAATCATCATAATTATTATTTTGCACTGCAGATGCGGTAGTTCTTCTGCCTTGGCGTCTTGGTCCGATTGCATTTCCATGAAGAAACGATCATAAATGTTCTTCCTTAAGCTGCGTCCCCATCCCTACCTACCTGTCTGTCAGACACATACGTGAATGCACACACATGCACATACACAATAATCCACAACGAAAGAAAAGGAGAGGCAGGCCTACATGCGCACAGCGCGCAGGCACACGCTCACAATCACTTGCATCTACCTTTGCGACCCTTGATGCAGACTCAGAGCTGCTTCCACATACTCTGCAAGGTCTAAAATATCAATAACCAACTTCTGGTCACATGATTTATTTTTTTAACAACCCCCCTGACCCCCAACTAATACTTTCCAGGTTCTTCGGGGGGATTCAGCCTGTTCCCAGGCAAGACAGGATGAACCTCCTTCCAGTTAGATGTGCTTTCAATCTGTGATCTGTGATTTTGATCTTTCAGTCTCTCTTACCAGAGCCTATGACCATAAGTGATCAACCTGTTAATTGAAAGCATTTCTTTCAGGCTTAGTTTTCTTTTCTTCAAGACCCACAGCTGTACTGCTGAGACAGCAGACCTGTCTGTCAATCTCACCATCCAATTTTAGTCTCACTTATGGATGAGACCCCGGATAATTCAACCCCAATTGAGGTTAAAACTTAATCCTCACCTGGAGGGAGCAATTCACCATTTTCCTGCAAAGAATTATGGCATCTGATTTAATCTTATCCCAACTGCTTCAGTTTTACTACCCTGATAGCCCATATTTCCTCAGTACCCTCCACAAGACCCCTCAAGGGAGACGTCTTAAGCCTTCACCAAGGCCAAAAACACATGTAGACAGGAGGGGCAAACTCCATTACACCCTGCACAGGCTCTTTAAGGGTAAAAAGCTGGTCCACTGACCCACAGGTAGGTCATCATCTCAAGTGTTTCACCTGTATCTGAGATTTGATTATTTTTTAAACTTTCCTCAGGGCGATAAGTAGTGTGGCATCCCTGAAAATCAGAGCTCACCAATGCCCTTTTTGTTTCAAATAGTAACAACCCTCCTGGTCTGCTGCTATAAATCTCCATGTGACATTGGAGATACAACCAAAGACAGTTAAAGAGGTGAATAGCTTCTTGACAACGTCAG